TTACAAACATTTCACAAGAAGCGATGGAGCAGGGGCACTTTGCTATCAAGGTTTATGTTTGTTCCTAAGCAAGCAGGGCAGGCACAACCCTGGGAAGTGGGGAAACTCCTCCTGATGTGCTTGCAGCCTAGGCCTTGAGAGAAGGATGCACCCAGCAGCGCTGCCCCCTTAGCTTAGCCTCGCACACATGCACACTGACAAACTCACTACTTACTTACTTTCAGGTGCAGAGTAATTTAAGCAGAATAAGCTAAAAACAAATATTCTAATAGCAGGTGTAGTGTTTGCAAGAAAGTGACTGCTTTTTTTTTTTTTTTTTTTGATTTTACATCAACTTTGGTATTCAACACCGCTACTTTACTTTCAATGTGCTTTACAACACTACTTGTCAAACTTAATTAGCTGCCTAGTTTTTCTTTGTAAGGAAAGTATTTTACTCTGTGAGCAATTTTTTGCATTATATTAGATTTTTAGGATTTCGTGTTTGCTAACTACCCATAAATAGAGTTACCAGCAGCATGAGAGCTATTTTGTGTTACCACTTCGACAGACTTAAAATTCTCATAAATATAAGGAAAAAAATATGATCAAGGTCTCATATTTTTTATTTAAAAGAGTGAAAGAACCCCCCATACCCAAGACAAACCACCAGCTTATGCTTCAGCAACAGCCAGACCATTTTTGAAAGACTGCTTTTTCACCACACAGTCATGTTGCTAAGAAGCAACCTATAATGCTTTGGCTATAATATCATTCTCCATAATTTCTGACAGTTTGATTCTGTAGAAGTTATCCACATGTTGTATACACAACACACATCTTTTTATACATATATATATGTATATGAGGGATTGGAAGTACTTGGCCAGAAGGAACAGAGGGTGGAGGCAGACTGAGAAAGCCATGAGTTAAGGACAAAACCTTAGTTCTTCAAGCTGCAAACCCATCTTCGCATCAAGCATCTGCATAGCTACAACTAAGTTGAATAATATATATTTAGTTTATACATCTGCTGAGGTACACACTGAATCAACACTTTACTTTCCAGTGCTCCACTTTCTGCTTGTAACAAAATTATAAAAGGCAAGTAAAACTGTAAGAAATTTTCTTTTAAAAATAAGTGTCCAGAATGCAACAAATCTTTCCAAAGTTACTGAAGTCAGGCTGACTCTTTTACTGAGTGAGGTCATTTTAAATGATGTATCAGAAATTATTTACCTCGATTAAAAAAAAAATACCAAATCCACTCTGTAAACCTGTGAAGTTTGAAAAGTTCTGAAGAACACATACGCAGCTCTCTGCAGCACACGTGCTCAGAAAACCAGCACTGAAATCACCTCACAAAAACATACACAAGGTACTCAGCTTCTGGGGGAAAAAAAGGAGATACCCTTTAATGTAAAAATATCTATGGAAATACTACTGTGCAACTATGCTCAGGC